TCCTGCAGCCCTCAGAGCTACCGCTGGACACACACATCATCAACGTGGAGGAGGACCTGCAGAGACTCCAGCTGGCCCGGACACAGCAGCAGGTGACCGGTGCGTATCGCTCTGTTGCTTCATATACCATAGTCAAATTACACACATCACATGCTTCAAGATTTCAGTAATAGAAGTGCAGCAGGAAGAAAGGTAAAATATAACCTTGGAAAGTTGAAAGTAATGTGCACTTTCATTGTTTGAAATTTTTATAGATAATGTATAGAAATATATATTTTTTAATTGCCACCCTGTTCCATCTCTCTACTCCATTTCCTACTTTTTCTGCATTGTGTACCAAAAAAAAGGGCAAAAAAAATTAAATTGTTTTACCATTTTTTTCTCTCTCACAGTTTTCCTGCATACTGGGTACAGAAAAGACAAAAATAGAATGTAATTTCAACATTGGCCATAGGGAGGCACAATAATTTTTTCCCTCCCTTTTGTAACTCACCATGCTGTATCAAGGGGATGAAAGTGCAGGAAATAGACTCAGGCATGCACTTAAATTCACCTAAAGGGTAAAGAGTTTGTGGATAGAAAAATATGTAGAAAATTTAAAAAAAAATGGGGGGTTATAAAGAGCAAAAATACAGGAAATTGATTCAAGGAGGCACTGAAATTCACCTTGAAAACTGCCTTTAATGCTTCCATTCTAATGGACTGATGGTTACAAAATAACATGTTTAACTTGAGATATTTTCAGGTTTCCATCTAAAGTTGAGAATTTAACTTGGAATATCGCAGAAAATATTTGCGAATTAAGCACTGTTTCCATTCCATGCAATGTGATTGGTTCACTGGTTAGTCCAGTTATCCAATCACATAATCTGTTGAGGCAAAATCCCGTCTTTTGTTGCGTATCAAGGACGGTTCCATTGTAGTTTATGCACTACAATTTAAATTCAATCCATCCATACATGGATGGAAACCAAGTTCTAAAAAAATGCGGCAACGTGAATAATGTGGTCAACACCCCTAGAGTTGTTTCGTAGACCTGTAATTACAGAAAATGAATCAACATCATGTCAGCCAATTGGAAATGAAGAATTCAGTAATCTTGAAGTATGTCACTGTAAAGATTCTTTACTGTTAGGAACGTAAAACTATTTTAGCGTTCACATTTGTAAACACATCTGTAAAGATTCACTCATGCTAATGCTAACTTGTATTGTCGTTTTTGAACAGGCGATGCAAATGAAAGCGCCGAAGATGCATTTGTGCGTCGTGCTAAAGAGGGCATGGGCGGCGACGAGGCCCAGTTCAGCGTTGAAATGCCTTTGACTGGAAAAATTTACCTGTGGGCCAACAAATACCGTCCACGTAAGCCCCGTTTCTTCAACCGCGTCCACACCGGCTTCGAGTGGAACAAATACAACCAGACGCATTACGACTTCGACAACCCGCCGCCCAAGATCGTCCAGGGCTACAAGTTCAACATCTTCTACCCTGATCTCATCGACAAGCGCGCGACTCCGCAGTACTTCCTCGAGCCCTGTCCCGACAACAAAGACTTTGGAATACTGCGCTTCCACGCCGGCCCACCGTATGAAGACATCGCATTTAAGATCGTGAACCGTGAATGGGAGTATTCCCATCGCCATGGTTTCCGCTGCCAGTTCGCCAATGGAATCTTTCAGCTGTGGTTCCACTTTAAGCGATACCGATACAGGCGGTGAAGAGGACGAGGTGTTGTATTAGCAAAGTGTTGAGTTTCGGGAACACTGAACGTTCATCTTCAAATGCTGTAAAATTGGTGTAAATCTAGCAAAAGTAGTACAATCTCTGTTTATTGATTTCATTAGCATCTTCCGTTAGTGGAAGAACAGGTTTTCGACAGAATAGACCTTAATATGTGATCTTGTCCTTGTTGAAAATCCTGTTTTGTGCATTTCCTTAATTGCAGGCTCTTGCATTCGATTCCTTTTTTTTTGAGCTTGAAAATGCTATTTTTGTACTATTTGCTTTTGAGATGATACAGTAAAGATTTACTCATTTTTAATTGCTTAACGTCGTCATTTGTGCTCAATTTTAAAAATAAATTTTACACCTTGACATTTCATTTGTTGTTCATTGGAAAAAGCCATTTACAAAGAGAATTTACAGCATTTTAGGTACATAGATGGCATTAAAGTTAAAATGACATTTCTGCAGTACATTCATATAAAAAACACGCAACAGGCTGCATTAAACTTTGAGTCTAAGATGCAGTCATTTGACACTCGTCTTGGTATCCTGAAGATACAGGAAGTTCATTCTTGTCCATGTGAAATTGCCTTTAAAGGCAACATACTTGGATTGAATCAACAACCACGGCAGGTTTTAACAAGATGGCATGTCTCATTTTTGCCCCTAAAACAGGAACACAACCACTGAAAATGTCCAAAGAAAGACTCTAAATAGTCTCTGCCTCAAACTTCAGGGCTCGCAGTCAGTCCACCTGGAAACAAAATCATGTTTACAGGATGCCAGGTTCATAAAATGATAACTTTTGAGCATGAACTAATCACTGGTTTTGAGTCAGAGTTTGTTTGTGGCAAAAGTTTGTTTTGTAGCAAGTAAACTACAAGCAAAACTGTATTTTCAGGCCATTCACCCCAAGTACGATAACTATAAAGTTGTAATAATCATTCTAACACCACAGCTATAAGGATAACACCAGAATATTATCGCCTATTGCTCTGGATACCATTATGGTTATCGTTATAGTTATCTTTATAGTTATCGTTCTTGGTGTGACTGTGACTTTAGGTCTATTAATGTGGTGTAATGTATTTCACACGAACCACATAAAAACAAAATTAAATGTGGTAAGTAACTTATATTGGTACATGATCAGACAGTCATTTCCTGTGTAAGTGGGCAGCGCTATAAGACTATACTGGGCCTTTCCTAATACCCACACTTGCGTTCTTTGCATTGAACTAGTTGCCTACTTTGATGATGACTACGTTCTTATTTCCTGGATTTGGCCCAAGTGTTCTAGTCGGTGTGAAGACCGCAAAGGTACATAGAGCTTTTCATAACCAGATAGGACACACGACATAGCACTGTAAAACTGCAATTTAGACATTTTTATTTTCAATACTTTAAAATAAACTTCCAAATGTGTAGTAGGTCCTATGTAACAGATGACACAATTTAGTAATTGCGATGCTGCTAATTAAGTGATAAAAGGCAGTGATAAATAAATACACACTTATTTCAGCACCAAAAAATGTGTATCACTTTATGTTTTACCACCAAATTATATGTCTGAGCATTTTTAACCTCAAAATATAGGGCGCATGAGTTCCTGAACAAGATGAATGATGGGATACACCTCAAATACTGCTCTGAAGAGCTATTAGAGATTTATTAGGGATTTAGTGTGCTTTAATGGCACTGAGCTTTAGCACTTTTCAGACCTGGGACAGTCTTGCCAACCTGTCATGTGCATCCGCTCTCAAGTAGTCAGGACGGCAAGTGTGGGTATTGGGACAGGCTCTATGAACGGGAGAAGCCGCAAAACGCAATATGACGAAACTAGCAAGTCATGGCTTATAAATAAAACAATTGTGACATTAGAATGAAGATGCTCCAGTTCACACAGAAACACTCAGGGTCCTAAAACTCGCACTTAGCAGATGTTTTAATGTAACGCTATTTTAACGTATGAAACAGCATTTATGAAGCAGTTCATGTTAGAATGTTGAAATATTGCCAAGCAGCTTTTAAAATTCACCATTTCCCCATTCAAGTGGATAGGAGTTGGTTTTGCATGACTGAAATAGCTGCCCGGTGGCGTTGCAAATATGACCACCAAGTGATTTGACTGTCCTTGAAAAGTACTTTGGTGATTCTTGGACACAGTAAGCTGCAATGGAGACAGACCTTATGCAAAAAAAAGTCTGATTCAGTGTCTTTTTTTTTGTCCATTGGACATGAACGATGGCATTTAGAAGGTATAGATTCATCAAGGACAAAAAGTGGGTCAAAACAGTAGTTTAGTCGAGAGTTAGCTGCAAAAGAGGAGCCAGCCTCAGTGGGCTTGGTCTGTATATAAATGACGATTAGCCGCATTAGAAAGTCTGTGCATAAAAATCTCAAATCTCAGATTCATCTATATATTTCATTGTGATCTGACCTGAGGAACCAACAGTGGTTGAGAGTCTGTCCGTTTCTCTAGAGCTGGAGTACCTCTGGTCGTTCACATGGTTGTTGTTGCTGTTCAAGTTCACCGTTGATGATGCTATTTTATGTTCTGGAAGCTGGTTCTCATACGGACTTTGTTCGCACCTGTTCTCCGTGTCCTTTACCCTCCTGTGGCAAAACGGCAAAGGAAAATGCCCTTTGTACAGGTTCCAAATTACTAGCATAGCTAGAATTAGTGACAATAACACCACCATGGCCACAAGTGTGTTTTCTTTTTCCTTAACGTTGTGTAGTAATGCTGTAGTCCCGGATGCCGACCACATTTTTAGATCATATGCTACGTGCTGGGTTTGGTAATTCCGCTCTACAGAACTACAGGTGTAGCGGCCGCTGGCGTCTGCGGAGGCGTTGAAGATCATCAGGCTGTCAGACAGGATCTGGAAGGTGTTTGACGCATTGATGGGTCGTCCGTTCAGCTGCCACTGAACCTGTGCCAGGTTGGAATATGGCTGGCACCACAGCGTCACGGTATTGCCGTGGAAAAACGAGACGCTGACTGACTTACTGTCCTCTGTAACACAAGTTCCAGATGTTATTTTTAGTGTTTCTACCAGAACATACAGTTTGAAGAATCTGGGATATAATACAAGTACCTATTTGTGGACATCGGCTGGCATTACCATAACTCAAATTCTGAATCACAGTGCTGTGGAAGAAATAATTTTACAGCAATCAGCAATATGCCAATATCAATATTCATAATGGTGTGCACAAACAATCATCACAAAAGTTTGAATTAAGAACACGTTTGCATTTTCTGCATAATTTCCTGTAAAATTTCCATTTCATGTGTACAGTCATTTTACTTTTGACAAAACGATGAATTACAAAAACCTCATTATTAGCATGCATATTACTGGCATATTGGCTGATTATTAGTACTCATAAAGCACATATTAATGCC